CCCTCTGGCCACCGAAGGCCTTGCCAGCCCATAATACTCTTGCCTCTGGTCGCAGGAGGCCTCCAGCCCATAATATTCCCTTCCACCACCACCCCTCCTTCCCGCCCCGCACCCCTTCCTCCCGCCTCCAGTTGGAGCCCGGCCTCACCAGCCCATAATATTCCCCAGTCTCCTAAGGCTGTTCTAGCCCATAATACTCTCCCTGTCTCCTAAGGCCTCTCCATCCCATAATACTGCCAGACGCCTGACCTGTGGGCCAAACCCCAGCCCGTTCCACACATCGAGGCTGTGTCAGCGCCGCCGGGCTCCCTCCCTGTCCCTCCCTCCTCCCTCCGCCCTCCTCGGTGCTCTCCCTCCCAGGCTCTCTCCCGCCCTCCTGCCCTGGGCCCCTCTCCCGGGCCCCACCCTGTGCCTGCCTGGGCCCTTACTTCCCCTCCAGCCTCCGCTCTTGCCCTTTCTCCTTTGCTTGGTTCTTCATCCCATGCCCCCTCTCCTCTCCCTTTCAGGCACTTTTCCACCCACTCCTCTGTCTGTGGGATGGACACCAGGCCCAGTGGGGACAGAGAGCCCCCGGAGAGCAACAGGCCAGTCACTGCCGGTGAAAGCTGTCTACTTGACCTAGCACCATGGAAACTTGCCCAGCCTGCCTTGCTCACCCAAACCCTAGCCCTAGTTCTGATTGGTGGAAGAGCTCTGTCTGGGTGAGGATTCACCTGGAGCCCTTACTGTCTTCCAGAAACACTCCCCGTGGACATCATGAGCAGACTTGACCAAAGGCATCTCCTCATCATACTCTTGTTAGAAAGAGAGCTCCCCCTTATGGGATGCCTCTCAGGTGCCTTTCAAAGATGATCTCATTGACTCTCAGACAACCCAACAAGTAGGTATTATGATCCCCATTGCATAGAGGAGAAAACCGAGGCTCAGAGAGGTTAACTAACTTGCTAAAGTCACATTGCCAAGAAGTGACAGAGCTGAAGTTAGTACCCAGGTTTGTTTGATTCTGAAGTTCTGAGAACCTTTGGGATTCCCCAAGCCCTGTGAGAAACTTCACTTTTCAGTGCTCCTCTGAAAGGATAGCATGGTGAGAATTACCCAGCCTCCCTTGGTCTCCAGGGTCTCCTAAAATAATGGAGAAGGAAGGCCCAGTCTGAGATTAACCTCCCTCCCCACACCCATTTCTTCCATGGGAACCTGGCTGGCAACCCCACAGGGGGTTTCCTTAAGACAGTTCAAGGCTAAGAGAGAAGCATCGCTGCCCCTTTGGGAACCCTTACCTCTGCCCTGGTTCTCCTGAATTTGTTTTATCTCAAGATGGGCAATGTTACTCTTCCCCCAACTACTCTCACCGTGTGAAGGGACCATCCTACGGAGGAGATAGACTTTGAGGAGAACCAAGGGAGGTCTCCTCTTCAGTTGAGTTAGTGGGCAATCAGAGCGTTGCCTTTGAGAAGTTGGGTACATCCCAGCTAGGAGAGGGGAGTCATGGCCCACTGCACAAAGGCTGAGCCATCTGCTTGTGCATGCCACCAACTAGCTCCTCCCTTCTGCACCCTCGATGGGGTGTACTCTAGGGCCCAACACAATTAGAACCTTTAGTGAGCCCAGTTCTCAGAGCTCACACAGCCACACCGTGTTCTGCACAGGGGCCTGAGGCAAGTGGAGAGAGAAGGGGCAGGTGTGTTGTAGGGTATGCGGGTAGGAGCATGGAGGAAGAACTGGGAGGGGGGGCAGAGATGATACAGCCAGATTCAAGGTGAGAGGGGCAGTCCAGACAGGTGGCTACACGAGGAGGGAAGGAGAAGAAAGGCAACCAGGGAAGGATGGATGTAACAGAGCCAGCGATGAGGAGGTGGAAAGTACCAGGAAGGGGAAATGCAGTAGGATGTACTGCAAAGAGTAGGAGGTTGGGAGCCACATAGATACTGTGCCACTTCCTGGTTGTGTGACCTTAAGACCTCAGCTTCTCCAGGGTTTCATCTGTAAAATGGGGCTAGTAATTGTCCCTAACTCAGAGGGTTATTATAATAATTAAATAAGATAATGCATTTTAAGCCCTAAACTGAGATTCTGGCACACAGAGTATTTTTAAAACTTGCTAATGCTCTTTCTCCCTCTAGCTAAGATTTTCTCATTTTCCTCCTCTGGATTTTCCTAAACCTCAAATGGGGTAACTCCAGGACAGGAGGTGAGGGCTCTTGATTTCCCACATCCTGCCTCCATTGTACTGCCCACTCAGTAATTGGGGAATCCTGTGAAAATGGCAGTGGCTACAGGTTTTCTTCAACTTCCCCAGCCTGTTACTTGTCAGCTTCTGTTCATTCCTTCTCTGCCTGCAGCATCTCCTTTATCTATTCTTGCCTCTCTATCCTCGTGATAGAAACCCATTGGATGTACTGAATGTGGGGAAAGAGTCCACCAACACTGGAGATTTCACACTGCAGACAACCCATTTCCATCCACCTCCACAGGCCACGGTCACACTTCTCCTGGACTACTTTAACAGCTCCCTGACCACTCTTTCTTTCCCCTTAGATGCTCCCCACCTCACTTCCCTACAGTCTATCCCACACTATATGTCAAGATGAGCAAAACCTCACTCAAGAACCTTTAGGGGCTTCCCATTGCCCAATAAATTAAGTGCCAGCACCTTACCCTGTGTTCGTGCATCTTCCGTCTTGAATGATAATTATTGTTGAGTTGTTCCATGGTCCCCACTAGATAATAAGGTACTTCACAGCAAGATTGAACTGCTCACCAGTCAGGAAATATTTATTGAGCACTTCTTTTGTGCCAGGCGATGTTCTAGATGCTGGGGACACAACAGAGAGGCAACCGAACAAAAATCCCTGCCCCCAGGGAGCTTACATTTTACCAGGGGGGAAGACAGACAAAAGCTATAAAAATTATAATAAATAAATAAGTAAATTATATAGTATGTTAGAAGACACTTGCTATGTGAATTTTCATTACTTTAGAATTCGTTCACGTATCTCTATATAAAAATACTCAAGTAATTTTTTTAGATTGTGCTCAATTCAGTTCAGTTTGGATAGGACAAAGTACTGAGACTGGACTATGGCGACCTTTGGTCCTCCCAGGGCTGGAAGGGCATGGGTCCTGAACCCTAAGGATGAAGCAAGATGAAGCAGGTGCTAAGCACCGGGCCTCTTCTAGAGCAGCGGGAGGTGAGCGCCTGGCCCAGGGCTCTAACCTGGCACCAGATGGTGGAAGGCCCCGACTTCACAGCTCTCACTGAGGAATCTGGGTCAGTTCTCTGGTTTGGCCACCAGGGGTCATTTTACCCCTGTAAATCACCGTCTGGAGTGATCGCATAAAGACACACACAAAAGGCTTATTCCAAACTAAAATACACAGAGACACACACAAGAAAACCATGACACTGTCACACACACACAGAAACATACAGCATTGAGAGACAGAGGGACAGAAATGCACACAGGACACACGCATGGCAACAACTCCCTCATTAACGTCAGGGTCTCAAGATGTCATAGTGCCAACTCAGCAACCCTTCTCAGCCCCCCAACTCGGACTCTGTAAAGAGGGAAGGAAACAGTAGGTGGCCCAGAAGCCAGGCTTCCATTTCCCTGGCCTCCAGCTTGCTAAGAACAGACAGCCTATTCCTGTCCTCCCATCACACTCTTACTTCCCTCTAAACTCCTTTCCTGTCTGTCGCAGTTCCCTTTTCCCTCCCCAGAGAAGCCCCACCCCTTCCGCCTGAGTGTTTGCGTGACTAGATCCACCCCCACCTCAGGGCTGCCGCTCCAGGAAGCCCAAGGTAGCGTCCATTGTGTGCAGCTCTTGCCGGCCCCCCCAGGAAACCCCAAGCCTTAAGGACATTAGCAATTGATTATTGAGCACTGCCCTGTCCCCACAGTAATAAAAAAAAGTGTATATAATGCCCTGGGAAGAAGTTATGCATGGTACAGTTATGGCTCTCAAAGTGTGATCTGGGGACCAACTCTTTAAGGAAGCCCATGAGGTCAAAACTATTTTCATAGTACTACTACTAAGATGTCATCTGTCCTTTTCACTCTCATTCTCTCACAAGTATACAGTGGAGTTTTCCAGAGGCTTCCTGAAATGTGATGACATTATTGCTCGCACAGCTAATGGAATGTGTGCTTGGGTATTTGTTTTAAAAACTTGTTAGTTTTAATTTCCAATATGGTAAATATCAAAAGAACAAAGTTTAAGCAAAAGCTCTTTGGACTCCTCAATTTTTAAGAGTGTAAAAGGGTCTGAGATCAAAAAGCCTGACAACTGCTACTTTAGTACAAAGAATTTTCCTCTTATTCTAGATGAAGCAACAGAGACAGATAGAATTTAGGACCTAGAATAGAGGTCTCGAAAAGGGGCTGGGGTGGAAGGAGAAGGGACCACCTAGAAAGGGGAACAGGGACCAGAATCTTGGAGGAAAAAAACCCTGTAACTCATGGTTTTGCCCTGCCCTCAACCACCCTATGCTGGGTGTCAGATCTAAATTGTTACAAGTCACTAATCAAGAAGGAAACTAATTCTGTCCATAGCCAATAAACTCTTGAATTATGCCTCACTGCTGGGCAGGGGAAGCCCAGGGGAAATGAGAGTGGGTGGCATTCATGGCCCTAAGACTGCTGTGGTCCGTCTAAACCCAGATCACCCATTTTCTGCTCCATCTGCCAGCTCTCAGTACTGCTTCACGCCCTCACCAAGGGCATTTCATCCAGTCTTCTGCCTCTGCATCGGCAGGCTCACAGCATCACTTCCTTCTAGGGAAGGGATCCTCCCCATGTTCATATCACCACCAATTTAAAGAAGATATTTCCACCAGCACTCTACCTTCCTGGTGCCCTTTGCTCCCACACTTTTTTCTCTTCTGCATTTATGAGCTGTGGCTGTCACCCAGAAGTCCAAATGCCCAGTCCACCTCCCTCATGTGCACACCCTGAAAGTCTGCAAGTGTGAGAGGCTCGAGGGGGTGGGGATGGCAGGTGACCCTATAGCACGATGTGTGTTCAGAGGGCCGTATCTTCCAGGCGCTGGGTGAAGGGCGTCCCGGGTTTGAAGGGCCTGAGCAGCTCCTGGCTGGCGGCAAGCGGCTCAGTGGTGTGGCTGGTCTCAGTAGGCCGTTCAGCGAGCGCCCCCCGAGCACCGTTGGTGGCCAAGGTCCTGGCCCTAAGCGGAGTGCCCAGGCGACGCAGGGTGTTGCGGAAACCCTCGGCGCTGAAGTAGTACACCAGCGGGTCCAGCACGCAGTTGGCGCCGGCCAACAGCACCATCACCATCAGCACACGGCGCACCTGATCGCGGGCCGCGATGCTCGCCACCACCAGGTTGCCCCGCAGCAGCCCGTAGACTGCCAGCGTGGCGTTGTAGGGCACGAAGCACAGCAGGAAGATGACGAGGTTGGCCAGCAGGAGGCGCACGGTCTTCCCCCGCCGATGGCTCTGCGTGGCGTCGGACCGCGCCAGGGTCCAGAAGACCCGGCCCGACGAGTAGACCACGGCCACTAGGGGCAGCAGGAAGCCCAGCGCCTCCGCCAGCAGCACGAGCGGCAGCAGCTTGCTCTTCCACAGCTCGTCGCTGAAACTCTCGAAGCACAGGCGCACCTGGAGGCCACGGTAACTGCAGGTCGAGGGCCTGTGCACGAGGATGGTGGGCACGGCGAACACCAGGATGAGCGCCCACACGCCAAGGCAGAGCAGCCGCGCCACGCGGGGCCGCCGCAGGTGGCGCAGCCGCAGCGGGTGCACGATGGCGGCATAGCGGTCCACGTTGATGAGGGTCAGGAAGATGCAGCTGCCGTACATGTTCATCTGGAAGATGGCGCCCGCTATCTGGCACAGGAGGTCCGAGGAGGGCCAGTAGTGCAGTGCGTAATAGGAGAGACGCAGGGGCAGCGAGAGGGTGAAGAGCAGGTCGCTGGCCGCCAGGTTGCACATGTACACGCTCACCACGGAGTGCACGCGCAGTGCGCGCAGGAAGACCCAGAGGGCCAGCGCGTTGAGGGGGAGCCCTGCGGCCAGCACGAGGCTGTAGACCACCATGTGCAGGCGGTGGGTGGGCCGGTGGTCAGGGCACAGGGGAACAGAGCTGTTGGTAGAAGTGTTGGCCGAGGAGTTGGCCAACATCCTGCCAAAGTGTGAGGAGGAGCTAGGCAGGGGGCATCATGGGGTACACCAGGGTTCTGGCATCGTGTTCATTGCCAGAGCGGGGCCTGCAGGCTGCACAGAGACAGTCCCAAAGTAAGCAGAGGCGGAGCATGGGAATGCGGGCTATGGCGGCAGCCCCAGATGGCTGCCAGGGGGTGGATGCCGTTGGTCACAGCTTCATCAGCACTGGCAGACCTGGAATGTGAAGATGAGGGAAAAGTCAAGATTTTGTAAGGACAGGGCCGAAGACACAAGTGTTTATCTAGCTAAACTGGCTGGCCTCTCAGGTCTTTCTCAGCCTCAGATCTTTTCCCCATCTTCCCTGGGGCCAGAATAGCTTTCTGCAGCAGGGCTGTACAACACAGTGTTAAATGCCCAGGCTCTAGAGGCAGGCTGCCTGGGTTTACTTTATTTTTGTTTTTTTGTGTGTGAGGAAGATCAGCCCTGAGCTAACATCCATGCCAATCCTCCTCTTTTTGCTGAGGAAGACTGGCCCTAGGCTAACATCTGTGCCCATCTTTCTCCACTTTATATGGGACGCCGCCACAGCATGCCCTGACAAGCGATGCCTAGGTGCGCACCCGGGATCCGAACCCAGGGCACCAGCAGCGGAGCACATGCACTTAACCACTACACCACGGGGCCAGTCCCCGGCTGCCTGGTTTTAAATCCTGGCTTTGCCAACTTGCCTACCTTTTGCCCTCGGAAAAGTGACTTAATCTCTCTGAATCTTATTTTCCTCACCTGGGGAGAAAAAAAGGAGAGGGGGTCTTTCCTTCATGAGGCTGTTAGAGTAAATGAGATGATGTATGTAAAAGTGCTTTTGTTGCTGTTATTATCTAATAATGTCTCTCCCGTCCTTCCTTTCTTTCTTCTACCAATGCTTCCCAAGCCTTTAGAAGGTTCCAGGCATGTTCACAGCAGTGAACAAAACAAAAGTCTTGCCCCTAGCTACTTTGCATTCCATAGAAGGGAGACATAGTAAAGTGCGAGTAAACAGGTCTCATATTAGGTGGTGAGCAGCACTGCGGAGCTCCGCCCCTGGAACAGGTGCTCTGCTGGCTCCCCATTATCTACAGAATAAAGTTCAGGCTCCCGTGTACAGTACAAAATCCCAGCCTCACTCATCACATCTACCATTGCTCCTGTGGGAGCTAGGTTTGTGGTCAGAGCGACCCAGGCTCGCTTGATTATCTGACCTCTCTAACTCTCAGTTTCTTCATCTGTAAAATGGGGATAATAACATCCTAGGCTGATGGCACACGAGCATAGTCCTGCCAGGTAGGGGAAGGCCCTGTGGGTTGAGCTTCTCCAGGTGCTCCTCTGGCATGTCTGAGTAGGGAGCTTCCCAGATGGAGTGCTGCAATAGGGGGGAGATGGCGGTTTGGTAGTGAGGGCTCAAGGGGGACCCTAAGCCCAGAGAGCGTAGCAGTGAGGCAAGGAAGTACTGACGATGCTGCTGGAGAGAGCAGACCACAGCACCTGCCATCCTTAGGCAAAAGCTGGCCCACAAAAGATACGGCCAAGAGGTAGAGGAGCCAGAGGTCTCAGGATCCCACCTTCCTTAAAGCCATAAGGCCACAGAAGCTACCCCCCGATGGCAGCCCCTGAAGACAGCTATTGTGTGTGTGTAGTAAAATATACATAACTTAAAACTTACCATTTTAACCATCTTTAAGTGTACAATTCAGTGACATTAAGTACATTCACAATGTTGCGTAACCATCACTACTTCCAGAACTTTTTCATCATCTCAAACAACAACTCTCTACCCATTAAACAATAACTGTCCGTTCCCTTACCCCCTCCCTCTAGCCCCTGGTAACCTCTGTCCTACTGTCTCTATGAATTTTGCCTATTTTAAACACCTCATATGAGTGGAATCATAATATCTGTCCTTTTGTGTCTGGCTTATTTCACTTGGCATAAAGTTTTCAAGGTCCATCCATGTTGCAGCGTGTATCAGAATTGCATCCTTTTTTATGGCTGAATAATATATCCCATTGTGTATATATGTATATATATCACATTTTGTTTGTCCATTCATCTGTTGATAGTTACTTGGGTTTTTCCACCTTTTGGCTATTGTGAAGAATACTATGAACACGAGTGTCCACATGCCATCTTAGGGAGAGAAGTTGTCCGGAGACACTGAGCAATTATCCCAAGATACTGGACTGATTCCTTTCAAAAGGAGCTGCTTAAATTCTTACCTGGAACCGAGGTAACTCAGACTATAACAAGTTTTCTTGTGGGGTTTTTGTTTGTTTGTTCTCCCTCCAACCACAACTACCAGCAGTTTAAGACTTGTAAGAGGTGTAAGAGAACAGTTAAAGGAAATAAAGATTTCCTCTGCAAAATACGAATTTCAAAAATGAAAATAATACTAAAAGAGGCTTAAACATGCTGAAAAGCAAATAAAACCAGGATCTTTTCCTAGCACACGCCTCACCTCCCATGCTCCTTTGCTCCAGTCACACTAAACTAATCATAATTGTGCACATACATTATGTTTTCAGGACTCTGTCTCTGCCTGTGCTGTTTCTTCAACTTGGAGTGCCCTTCCTCCCACTCTCCACCTGGCCCACTCAGTCATCGCTTAGGACTCTGCAAAGCCTTTCCTGACTCCCTCCCTCCCCATCCCCGCAAGGCAGCTGCAATCTCCTCACCAGCACTTCCACTCAGTGGGCAGGTCTGTCGTAGCTGTTCCCACCTGCACTATAATTGGCTGCTCTTAGACAGCCCCTCCCACTAGACTGTGAGCTCCTTGAGGGAGGGGCTGAGGACTGTGACTTATTCATCTCTGTATCCTGCAGCACCTACCTCAATGAATGTTGAGTGAAAAATCATAGCTATCATTCACTGATCATTCACCTTATCCCAGGGTATTTTACGTGCATAATCTCTAATCCTTCCAACAGCCCTTTGAGGTAGATGTTTATCTTCATTTTTACTGGAAAGGACAGACAAACTCAAGAGCTCAGTCAGTGAGGAGCAAAGTCAGGATTCAAACCCAGGACCACCCGGCTCCTAAGTCCAACCCTCTCGGGCTGCTTCCAACAGGAGTGGATGCTTAGACACGAGGATGGATGCTGCCCAGGGCACTTGCTCTTTTACAGCCATCTGTATGAAATCTGTGCCCATAGATACATTGTTTTACTTCCTCATTTCTCCAATTGAAATATATACTTTTTAATAACCCACTTCCTTCTTCCACTTCAAACACTGGTAATCATCTTTCTTTCACACACACACACAAATACGCCCCTCTTTTCACCATTTCCCCTTACCTACTTCAGCACTTAGTTTGCTGCTTTCAACTCAGGTTGTATTTGTTCCATTTCCCCAATTAGATAGTAAAGTCCTGGTGTGGGGACCACCTCTTCTACTGCTTTTCTTCCCAAGCTCACTCACACTTCAGTCTCTCTACTTAGCAGGCCCCTGTGATATTCACTGGCTGCCCCCTCCTCCATGTTCACCCATCCTGTAATCCTGTTATCACATCTCTTGTATCAATCCAGTCAGCTAACCACTGCTTATCACACTCCTGACTCTCTTGTCTGCATGTACAACTCACTTAGTAAAAGACCATGTCCCTTAAAAGGCCTGTTTGGAAACAGCTTGCATTAAAATTCCAACAACAGTTTACACTATAATTACAATAATGCTTTATCATTCTTAACCATTCCCTGGAGAATCAATAGCTCCTTACAACTAGGAGGCACGTACTAGACAGTGAATGAATGATGAATGACGATTTTCCAAGATTTCCAGTCTTTCTGCCAACCAAGTTACAACAATAAACAGACCAAGATGTATTAGGTGAGCTGCCACTTAAAGGGAAAGTTAGGAATGCTTTCGTAAAGCGCATGGTGATGCTCTCCTTACTCTACTCCGAAAGGGAGAAGTCCTTGGGTTTCTTTGTAGTGGAGGTTATTTGTCAACCTTTCTGACAGACTCACACAGAATGGCCCTAGCTGAGCGTTGAGAGCTGCCAGGCCCCTGCCCTGGTCCCCACCCCATCCGCCTGCTTTCCTGGGGCTCCCGTCAGTGGAGCTGAACAGGCACAGTGCCAGGCCAGATGGCAAAGATGGGAAAAACTGCCAAAAAGGAGGCAAACAGGAAATGGAAGGAGGGCTCCAGATGTGGGGGAGGGGCAGCCCAGCCCTCTCCTCAGTCCTGCCTTGAGGAAGAGGTCAGGTTGTGGGGAAAATGTAGGAAGCCAAAAAACAGCAGCTGCCCTAGAAAAGAACGAACACTGGGGTTTCATTTCACCAGGGAGAAGGAAGGACGTGGAGGCCCACATAGGCCCAGTAACATCGACACATACGGACGTGGTAACATAAGCATACCACTATACACTCGTGCAAGGACACACAGGTATACGTACACTAGGAGATGTCACATAAGATCCCTAGTAACAGGCAAGTGAATGTAAATACACACCCTGTAACACACAAGTATGTGCACGCACGGAGGCCAGAGGAGGAAGAGCAGACACGGCCCCTAGCTTAGGGACAGTATCCGCACACGGATAGACACAGACAGGCAGGCAGCTTCCGGAGCATACACCCATGCAGGTGTGCACAAACAGATCCCAGCCCCAAGGCACTGAGGGGCAAGGAAAGCCCCGTACACATGGAGGCACCGGGCGGGGCCTGCCCAGTCCACATCACTGCCCTCCACACCACGCACACACCAGAGCACGTGCAGCCACTCTCCTCCTCCCTGCGTCTCTGTCCTCAGCTGCCCGCGTGCACATCCAGGGCCCAGGTTCCTTACGTCCTCAGGGCCTCTCAGACCTGTCCCATTGCCCTCTGAGCTGGGCTGGGCACCGTTCTTGGCTGCGATAAGCCAGAGGGGCAGGGCTATTTTCTGCAACAGGCAGGAAATGAAATTGAGACAGTAAAAGTGGGCAGGAGGCTAGATCATGATCATTCCCTCCCTCTCCTCCACACAACCTGCCCGTGGCATCCACCCTTCTGGCGCCTGACCAACGATGCAGAGGGGAGCTGAAGAGAAAGGAATAGGCAACTAGGGACAATGGGGGCAGGGAGGGGAGAGAAATATTTGCACTTTGTCCAGCTTCTTCTTGTCTGCCACCCTCTCTAGGCACATCCCCCTTTCCCCCTTCCACACATTCACCAAATGCCTTGCTCTCTCTTCACCTCCTCTTTTTAGTAATTCACACCCTTCAGAATTTTGAAAAGAAGGAATCTCACATCTCCTCATCCTCCTTGCCCCCGAAGACGGGCTCTAGAATAGCCCCAACCTCATTTTAGGTTCTGGAGGCCACGGCTGGGAGTCGAGGCCAGTCAGCATCCCACCCCTACAGAGTGTGCGCTTCCACCGAAGCCCACTTCCTCTGCGCTGTGCTCAGGCGCTGGGCGGATGCAGCCTTCACCCACAGACGGGCTGACTCATAAAGACTTCTTAATGTCTGTATTGTCCGACTCCCCAGTGAATCCAAACTGTGCTGAGCCGCCAGCAGAAGCTCAACGTAGTCTAAAGGCTTTGTGAACACCTCTGCCCAAGAGCTGCGTTGGGGACACAGATGGATTCTGCTCACCAGCTTGTCCTGGATCTGGGAGTTCTGTGGTGTGGAGATAGCGCAGGTGACCAGGCCAAGTGGGCGGCCTCCTCCTGCCCCAGAGGCCACGTTTTTCTCGAGAAGCCACTCTGGCCCAGGCCCTGGGGTGCCGCGTCTTATCTCCATCCTCCCTCCTCCTTGGTCCAGGCCTGCTCTGCTTTCTCCAGTCAAAATTCCTGCTCCAGGATCTCCCCACCCTTCCCCAGCTGAGCCTGTCTCTCCCTGCCTTTCTAACATCATCCTCAGCTGTGTCTTCTCCCTCCCCGGATATTCTGACCTCCTCTCTCCTGACACTTTTTCTGGGAAAAGGCAGAAAGCAAAGGCGGCCTACAGCTCAATAATTAGTCTCCCCAGTGTATGGATGTCACCTCACCACCTGCACATCTCTCTCCACCCTGCTTTCAAGAGCTGGAAAAACAGGAAATAAAGTCCCCATCAAGAGAAGCCACTCTGGGGCCGGCCCCGTGGCATAGCGGTTAAATGCACGCGTTCCGCTGCTGGTGGCCCGGGCGCACACCGATGCACCGCTTGTCAGGCCATGCTGTGGCGGCGTCCCATATAAAGTGGAGGAAGATGGGCACAGATGTTAGTCCAGGGCCAGTCTTCCTCAGCCAAAAATAAAAAATAAAAAAAGAGGAGGATAGGCATGGATGTTAACTCAGGGCTGATCTTCCTCACAAAAAAAAAAGAGAGAGAGAAGCCACTCTACAGGATGAGCCCTCCACAGCCCTGTGGTTTGAGTGTCCCCTTGCTTTGGGGCCTGGCTGGGTCCCCCAGCCTCAGAGAAATCTTCTGGAGCCTTTTGGCCTCATTGGCCTCGCTCTAAACTCAGGCAGCACTTCATGTGCACCACTGGCTTCAGCTCTCACTGTTTTGGCTGTCTCGTTCCCGGTGGGTCTGGCCATGCAAAGTCTCTGTGTTGCTAGGGTGTACGCTGTGGGGGGCAGGGTGGGGAGAGCTGACAGCATCAGACAGAGCTGGGCTCTAGTGTCTCTGTGGCCAGGAAGTGAGGCTTTTCTATTTCCCCCTCCATCCTTGCCTCCATCTCTCCTTAGGGCTACAATTTTAGCTCACCCTAAAAGGAGCTGGAGATACAACCAGGTGGGAGGTCCCTTTCTTGTCATGGAGGCCCCCATAAACATAGGTAATAGGTGGGCAGCTGCCCTCGTGGGTGTGATACAAAGGTATCATAAGGCCTTGCCGACCCTCAAATATTTCTCCTACCAGTGCTAAATATCTGAAATGCCATCCTCTTCATGCCACTCATGAGCCACATTCTATCAGAGCTATAGGCACATTCGAGACCATCTCGTCTAATCCTCTTATTTGGATGAACACATTGGATTAAGGCAGTGGGTCTCGAAGACCCTATTAAAATACACGTTGGTTAGTTGGGAAGGATAACAGTGGGAACACATCTGTGCCAGTGGACTCCATTCGTGGTGTTTAATCAGATTCATTGTCATTGAGCAGAGGGTCTGGCCCTGAGGGTGAGTGGGTATGGGGGTTTAAGTTTTTTGTGTGTGTGAGGAAGATCAGCCCTGAGCTAACATCCATGCTAATCCTCCTCTTTTTGCTGAGGAAGACCGGCTCTGAGCTAACATCTATTGCCAATCCTCCTCCTTTCCCACCCCCCCAAAGCCCCAGTAGATAGTTATATGTCATAGTTGCACATCCTTCTAGTTCTGTATGTGGCACGCGGCCTCAGCATGGCCGGAGAAGCAGTGCTGTCGGTGCGTGCCCAGGATCCGAACCCAGGCAGCCAGTAGCGGAGCACGCACACTTAACCGCTAAGCCACAGGGCTGGCCCCGGGGGGTTTAAGTTTTAACTGAGAGAGGGAAAGGGTTGGAAATTGTCCCCAGAGGGCCCTCCCCAGTGGCCTTGGGAACCCTGGGCTCAGCATGACAGGGGCCTCAAGGGTGAAGGGGAGAGCCCAGCCTCTCTGCGATGCCCCAGTGTGGGGGCCTCAAGCTTCCGAGGGGCACTCCAGGCTGTGTCCTCTGTCTGAGAAGGTCTGTCTGCCTGAGGCAGCCCCTTTTAGCTTTTTATTCTCTTCCAAAAGGTTTTCCAGGGCCCATGGCCCACCCACATCTCCATCCCCACCCATGTTCCCCATTTCTAAAGAAGGGGTACTGCCCCTTGTTCCCCCTGTGAGGTTCAACCCCACCTGTGACGCCCCCATACCTGTGCTCCCTGCTGCTCTGCCGCTGCCCCAGCCGCTTCCGCTGCCTGCTCTGGGCTGGGCTGGGCTGGTAGGACCTGCTCCTGGGGCGGGTGGGGACACACCCACTTCGGCAGATCTCAGCAGATCCCAGTTCCTTGCACTCACCCAACCCCACAGGGGGCAGGGAGAGAGAGAGGAGGAAGCAGTGCCCTCAGCGGCCTCCACGGACTGGCCAGAGAAGAAACCCCAGCAGATAATGGCACTTAATCCAGACCCCACTCTTGCCGACTAACAACTGCCCCCGCATGTCACTCACGCACTCCCCACAGTTTCCAGGAAGCCTACCTGGCACACCCACCCACTGCCACCAGATGACTAACCCCCAGCCTCTCGCTATGCTCACTGGGCTCCCCTGGGTATCTTAAAAGGGTACCCTTTTCTTATGGGTTCCGGCAGGTGGTTTCGCTCTTGCTATCATGGCTTATACCTCACCCTGCCCAGGGCCCCTCTGAGTGCCAGTGTCTGCTGGGGCCCTCTCCCTCTCCGGAGTGCACACGGCTCATCTATCACAGGGGTTCCCAGGCTGGATGGCTCCTCCTTGCCCCTATTTCCCCTAGGCAGTGAGGTGGGGGTGGGGTGAGGTGGGGTCGGGGGAGAGCCCCTTGTCTCTGTATCCTTGGGCTGAACCCCTTGTCTTCTGGATCAACAGGGCTGGGCATGTTGTCCATGCTCAATACACAAAAACAAGTTCAAGTTTTTGAGTAGTAGGTGAAAAAGGATATTGTGGTCAAATGAGTTTGGGAAATACCAGGTTAAACAGGTTTCTCTATTACAGGGCTCCTCAGAGCTTTACCACGCCATAGAAAGACTGAGCACATGTTGATCACTGAAGCTGGGTGAAGGGTGCATGGGGTGTATCATACTGTTCTATATTTGTGCATATTTTAACTTTTCCATAATAAATTTTCCTTTTAATGCTGTTAATCACTGTGAACCTATAGACGAGGGAGAGACTGTACAGTTTCCTAAACATATGTGTCCCCAGAACACACTTTGGGAAATCTCAGGTTATTAAAGGCCAGAGCTGGAGTTGCGTGTTGTCAATGCATGTTGTCAAGATGCAACCACCTCAACATTCGGATCATCCAGCCCATTGCTGGAGGTCAAATCAGGGGTTTCCTGAGCTCCAGGCCCCAGCTGTTTCCTCCCTGCCGATGCAGTGCAAGTTCTGCCCTACTTCCCCGGGGTTGGTCCCCCTGGATGTGATCTCAGTCAGGCTCTGGCCTTTATCCTCCAGAGGGACAATCCTACACTCACATCTGAGATCACAGGGCCCAGGGCTTCAGGAGTGAAGACACACATGCCCTCATGGCCCACATGATTCCCAAGACCCCAGGCGCGGCCTTCCTCAATCCAGCTCCCTGATTTTTTAGGGCTTCTTCTCCCGGCAGATGGCTGCTTCCCTAAGTACCATTCCCAGGAGGTTCTCTCACCTGCAGATGGATCCATAAACCCCGGGGGGAAGAGGGGGGAGCTGATTCCCATGAGGTAGGATGGCAGTGCTGAGGATAGGATCATAACCAAAATAGGCCACACAGGTTGAAAATAAACACTTTATGTAAGGACATCCTTTAAGGTGGTTGGAGTTCCCATCATGGATCTCTCTGAGACTGCTGCCCCAACCCAAGGAAAACATGAGTAGGGGCCAGGTAAGAGACCCAGAAGGGACAGCCTGGAAGCAAAGTGACAGATGGGGTCTAAAAGCAATGGAGGATGTGGAAGGGTCGGGCTGGGGTGGGGACAGGACAGACCCCAGCTCATCCGGCTTGGCCTAGAGTCAAGGTGCTAAACTCCTGGCTCCATCGAAGCACAAGGTCCTCACTTTTGGCCTGGCTTAAGATATTGTAAGTCTCATTCTGCAGACATCTCATGCGGGACACCTACACAGGGATTGGGTACACACAGTCTTTGTCACAGAGCCAGGAGCCAGAGATGGGGAGGTAGGGAGGTGTCAGAAGTCCCACAAGAATCAGAGGCAGGAGGCACGGGCACAGGGCAGCAGAGGGGAGGAGGAACTCAGATGTGGGTTTTTAAAGTTGCAAAGACACCAAGTGGCCCAACCCCCTCCTTTCAGAAGTGAGGAGGCTGAGGCTGGAGGCGGGAGTGACTTGTCCCAGACTTGGTGAGTAAGAGCGGGAGCAGGCCGAGACCTAAACAGCCAATCCCAAACCCAGCTGGGGGGTCTTCCTCTGGTGCCCTCAGGGCCCCCACCTCTTATCTGCAGCATTCCTTCCTGATCCCTCTGGCCTGAGAGGGCCTCACTTACTCCAAGACTGGAGGAGTGGAGGAGAGAGCTCTGGTGGAGGCCTCTGCCCAGAGAGGCAAGTAGGGACTGCTCTCCATATCCCTGGCGCTAGGAGCAGAGGGTCTCAGGAGAGACCCACCTTGGTGACTGATTAATGGGCTGATGGAGGAGGAAGGGGCGGGGCGAGAGGCTCACCTTCTGATTCTGGTTTCTCATCAGACACTGTTGGCTTTTGAAGGCACAGTAGTTTGGGTACTGCACATAGTCTGTGTCACAAATCTAAGCCATAGATAGGGAGATGCGGAGATGTCAGAAATCTTACAAGACATCAGCCCTCCAGAGAGTGCCCGCAGTGGCCAAAGCAGGAGCAGAGTGTGGCCATTGAGAACCAGACCTTCCACACCTGGGGTGCCCCCTCCAGAGGAAGAGGCCTTTGTCCCCTCGCCTTTCCTGTGCCCCCCTCAGTCATGGTTCAGTGGCTGGGAAGAAGCCATGAGCTGGGGGAGAAGTGGCTGTTCTGCTGGTCAGCTTGCTGGGAAAGTAGTTGAGGACTGGGGACCTGGGGAGGGGGGGCACTAAGGGTCCAGAGCATGGGAAGGGGGCCCGATTAGTGATCCAACCTCAGGGAGCCTTCTGAGGATGGGTAAGTAAGGGAGAGGGTAGGAGAATCTCTAATGTGTGACCTTGGGTGAATCACTTCCCTCTGTGCACCTTGACACCCCCCATCTATAAATCCTGGGGAGTGGCTGAGATGATCTCTGAGACCCCTTCCAGATCTAGGGGCTGGACAGGGCCCTCATCTCAGCTACCAGCCCTTTCTGAAGCTGCCCCTCCTTTTCCTTGCTTTGATTTTTCCTGCTAAACCACAGAAGGAAGGGCCTGGCTCTCAGCTACAACAGGTAGTTCCACAGGGGAGGTCACTCTGGGAGAGGGAGCAAAGTGGATTCCACTGAGCAGGGGAAGTGCTGGCAGAGGCAGGGAAGGAGCCTGCCAGACTGAGGCAGGGAAGTACCCGGTCATGGCTCTCAGGCATCATCTAGTCCTGTGTTGTAGATTTGAGTACAACCTTGGCCCAGAACGGGAGAGGACTTGACCAAAGGCCCTCAGCAGGGAACCAGCAGAGCTGGGACAGAACCTCTGTCTCCTGCCTCCCAGTCCTGCGCTCTCTCAGCCCTCCAGATTCCTACTCCTTTGCCAAACACAGTCCTACTCTACTGGGGGATGTCTATTCAAGAGAGGAGTGAGGACTGGTTCTCAGAAGCCAGGGGCCCAAGCCCCCTTCCACATCCCAGGGCTACCCAGAGCAAGTAACCAGAAGGAACTGGGGTAAGTGAGGTGGAGCTGACCTTTGGGGAGAGGCTCTGACCTTGGTGGGGAAATCCCCATCCTGGAAGCTAAGGAACTCAGTCTGGAGCCAGCCGGAGACTCGATTATCTTCACAGCCCTTTGTGGCTAGCCGGGCACACCAGAAGTCCATGCCGAGCCCACCGTACAAATCCAGCCCACGAAAGCGGCCCGATATTGGGGTCCCTGTCTGTGTGGCACAGGGGACAGGGGAGAAGTGCACGCCCCTGCCCTCCTGCAGGCCTCCCTTCCCGCTGCCCAGTCCTGCCTGGAGCCTGGGGCCTTCCCCACGGCAGGCTGCCCGGCTAGGTACCTGGGTGCCGATGGACATGCTCTGGGATGCAAGCAAGGGGCTGAGGAAGGGTGTTTTGTGGGAGTTGTCACACGGCTGCCGCTGCAGGTTGGCTTCCGAGTGGCATTGCTCCAGCTTCAGGGAGCAGAAGTCACAGAGGTCACAGGAACGTACGTGTCGCCGCCCAAGGCTGTCACAGACCTGGGGCAGGCATGTGGCTGAGAGACAGGCTGAGACTTTCCCACGCCTCAGCCCTCCAGAGCCTTCCCCGCAGAACATCTTTGCATTAAGGGTCTTCCGAAAGCTTCTCTGGTTTTTCTGCCTGCCCCCCTCCCCCAGGGCTCCTCAAGGACCTCGCCTCAGCTCTCTATTTCTTCACCCGCTTCCCGGATGATTCATCTACTCCCAGGTAATCTTCATCTCTCTGCAGGTGACATCCAAATCTTTATCACCAGTTCTCGTCTCCTTCCCGAGCTCCAAATCCTCGTTGCCAAGTACCGAACAGATGTCTACCATTGAGTGACCTATAATCACTCCTGACTTAGACTATCTGAAAAGAACTCATGACCCTCCCTTTCCCTTTCTCTGATAATGATGATGCTAATATTTACAAAGAGCTGACACAGTGCTAGGCACCATGGCCATAAACGCCATCATCTTGTTTAGTCTTCACAAGAACCCTATACTAGCACAGGTACTAATAATATCTCCGTTTGACTGATGAGGAAACTGAGGCTCCGTGAGCTGAGCAACCTGCTCAAAACCACATTAATAGACGGTGGAACTGGGACACAGATCCAGGTCCTTCTAACTCCAAAACCTATACTTTACCCAAGTGCTTAGGTTCAAAACCTCCAAGTTCTTGAAACACATTCTTCCGAGGGAAGTTGCCCATCGCAGAGTCCCTAGCTGGACTCTCCGCCCTGACTGAGCATCCTCAGCATTATCAGGAGGATCTTGCTCAGCAGCATCTCCCATCAATCCCATCATCCTCCTTCCTCACCCATGGGTACAGCACATCACAGTGCACAGAATCTCTTACGTCACCTGTTTACTTCCTACGATAGCACATAAAGCAGGCATGATCATGTCCCTGACCAAAAACTGTTATTGAATTCTTTTCCTATCAAATTAAATACAAGTGCTTCAGATTGCCACTCGAGATTGTTCACATTATGACTCTTACTATCTCTTTGACTCTTTCTCCTGCTGCTCCGCTCCAGGTAAAATGGGCTCCCTTAACCAAGCCCTAATATCCAGTGAGCTCCCTATGACTCCTGAACTTCCTACAATTAAAAAAAAATCTCTAGGGGCCAGCCCGGTGGCATAGCGGTTAGGTGCGCATGCTCTGCTTTGGCGGCCCGGGGTTCATAGGTTTGGATCCTGGGCGTGGACCGATGCACTGCTTATCAAGCCATGCTGTGGTGGCGTCCCATATAAAGTAGAGGAAGATGGGCACGGATGTTAGCCCAGGGCCAATCTTCCTCAGCAAAAAGAGGAGAATTGGCAACAGATGTTAGCTCAGGGCTGATCTTCCTCACACACACACACACAAAATCTCTCCCCAACACCCACCATACTCCTTTTGTAATGCTACTGAGTCCCAGGGGTGGGTGGGGCAGGAGGAGCAGTATGCTCATTATTGGTCCTTCATGAAATTTCTTCTTTCTTGCCTCAGAGCCTTTGCACATACTATTCCCTCTACCAGGAACCTTCTCCCAAGCCCCTTCTTTTGCCTGGTTAACTTCTTTTATCTTCAGGTCTCAGTTTTAAAACATCAGTTCCTCTAAGAAGCATTCTCTGATCCTTGCAAACATGGACAGTTGGGCTCCCATCTGCTCTCTCTGCACTTTGTACTTATCCATCACAGTGTTCATCCCGTCACACTGTTCTGTCTGTTTCCTCGTCCATCCCTCCCACTAGACTACATGACAGAGGACTGGATCTATTGTATTCATTGCTAAAATCTCAAACACCTAATACAGAGTTGGTGCCCAATCAATATTGGTTGAACAGATGGATGAATGGATGGCACACTAGCTCTCAACAAATGTTTGCTAACTTGTATTATTTGAAAACTCAGGGGCCGGCCCCGTGGTGTAGTGGTTAAGCGCACATGCTCTGCTTTGGCAGCCCGGGGTTCACAGGTTTGGATCCTGGGCGCGCACCGACGCACGGCTTGTCAAGCCATGCTGTGGTGGCATCCCATATAAAGTAGAGGAAGATGGGCATGGATGTTAGCCCAGGGCCAATCTTCCTCGGCCGGGAAAAAAAAAAAAAAAAAAGAGGAGGATTGGCAACAGATGTTAGCTCAGGGCTGATCTTCCTCAAAAAAAAAAAGAAAGAAAACTCAAAGGATATTTTCCTGGGAATAGGATTTGCTGGGTGCTGAGGCCACATTGAGACTGAAATCTCTCTACAGATTCCTGGAATGGGTTCTCTGAACTCTCTGGAAAGGAGAGCTTCATCTAAGTATTGAAGATCAAGAGATGACTCAAGCCTAATAACTCAGAGAGCTGAAGAATGAATTCTGGATGAGAATGGATTCTAGACTAGGTCTGGAGCCTTCCTCCTTTAAAGAGCTGTAGATGTCCTTCCAAAGAAGGGATTCCCACCTGGAGAGAATCTCTCTAATGATGCCTCATGCTATCTGTATCCTGCCCATCCTCCACTCCCAAAGCTTAGTACAGTGTCCATACCCAGAGGATGCCCAGTGAACACGTATCCATTAAATAGCATGGCATGCCTACCGACTTCCCGAAACCAAGGGTCTCTTCCTCCAAGTGCTGCCAGGCCTTGGCCGTGGGGGTTATGACGCAGGTGTTCTCCACAATCGAGTAGCACAGCACAAGCAAGGCCTCCACGTGGGGCAGCTGCAGGAGGCTGCAAGAAGACAGTGCTGGCTGGTAGGGATGGGCCAGAGGCCTGGGACAGAAAGCCACATCCACTCTTTTCCCCTTCCCTTAGCATCTGGTCTTGGTCACACACATTCAGCATGCTGGATGGGGCCTTAGAGGCCTCTGGACCAAGTCCTCTTGTTACAGATGAGGAACTGAAGTCCAGAAAGGGGAAGTAACTTCCTCATAGTTGCAATGCTAATCAGGGCCAGAGACAAGACCAGAGCCCAAGCCTGAGAACTCCAGGTACAGGGCTCATCCCACTGCATCATGTAGAGAATGGGCGTCTAGGGCAGTGCTTAAGCCAGTGATGGCCACAGAACAGATGAGGCAGGCCACGTGCACCTAAAGCCCAAGGGTCTGAGTGGGTCTGGAGGCCGAAGCTGGGAAACAGGGCTTCTCATTCCCAAATAAGTCCGTGGGGAGGGGAGGGCCAGTGGGAGAGTGAGAACTTCCTGTACCTGCCAGGGCTTTGGTTTTTCCAGATGGAGTCCTCCTCATATATGTCATTCATTTCATCCATTTCCTGGGCTGTTCGAATAAGCTCCTGGATGTTCTCCATCATTATAGGAGTAGACTCCACTTCCCGTACCCGGGGAGTGAAGGAGAAGCGGTTGGAAGATAAAGATTCAGACTGGAACGTGAGCTCTGAGTCTGTCTGCAGCCCAGGCATTGCCTCCAGGGTCTCCTCTGTCCCCTGTCCCTCCTCCTGCTTTCCCTCCTCCTTCTGCTCCTCCTCTTGTTCTTCCTGCTCCTGCCCTTCCTCCTGCTTGTGTTCCTGCTCTTGCTCCTGCTTGTGCTCCTGCCCGTGCTCCTGCTTGCGATCAGAGCCCTGCTCCTGGCCTCCCAGGGACAAGGAGGATTGTAGCAGCTCCTCCACGTTGTTGTTAAGCCGCTCGGGCCAGGGCCGGAAGGACGGTCGCTCTGTGGCTACAGCAGGGTTTGGGAGGGACCAAGAAAGAGAATGGAAAGGGATGGTCAGTTCTGGGCCCCAAGCGTCTTTGTCACAGAGAGACACACACAGAAACTAAAGGCAGAGGAAAGCAGCCCAAAGCACAAGTAAAAAACACAGAAAACAATAAAAGTATCAAAATAAAGAGTATTATCATGGCGACCGTGGTGGTGGTGGGCTGTGTCCCCTTCCCACCTCCACTACAAGTGCTCCTCTTCCCTAATTCCCACCTCAAACACCACCTTTTGTCCCTCTCACTTAGGAAACACCAAGTATTCTGAATAGCTAGCAACTAATCCTTTTTCGAGTGAAGACATTAGCTTATAAAACTCCCAGAGGACTTCCAAATGCAGGAATGTCTTCGGGAGCTAGGAAAAATGGATTCAGGGCAGAATCGTAAGTAATGTCAGAAGACACTGGGGGGCCGGAAAACTCTAATTTGTATTCATAAAAAGCAGGCTCTTGGAAGTCAGCCCTGTGGCCTAGTGGTTAAGCTCGGCATGCTCCCCTTCGGTGGCCTGGGTTTGGTTCCTGGGAGCGGACCTATACCACTTGTCAGCAGCCATGCTGTGGCGGTGACCCACATACAAAATAGAGGAAGACTGGCACAGATGTTAGCTCAGGGCAAATCTTCCTCAAGCAAAAAGAAGATTGGCAACAGACATTAGCTCAGGACCAATCTTCCTCAGCAAAATAAATAAATAAATAAATAAAAAGCACGCTCTCTCTTATGTAAAGAGCTGCCTCCCACCACCTCCCACCCCGCTCAACATTCTTCCCATTTCCCTGCCACTGATGCCTTAAATCCTGGGCTCTGGAATTTGTGGAAGGAGTTGCTGGTAGTCTCCCAGGTGCTGGGAGGGTCTTACCTGTGACGTGGGATGACATGGGGGAGGTCATCGTGGTGGGCGGAACTTCAGGAGAAGAGTCTAACTCCTTGAGATTGTTAGGTGAGAGAATTGAGACTGGCTGGGAGCATCGGACTCTCTGCAAGAAGAGAAGGAAAGTGGGAATGCCCTTCCCAAAGCACGGACTCCTACTCCAGCTTATTCCTCAGTCCCCTTTGCAGCCTGTCTCCTCTCTCACAGTTCCCGGGCAGGGATGAAGGGACGTGGTCCCTGGTGGAACCCTCTAGACCTGGGAAAGAGTTCCCCTGCAAGATAAAACTCTGTGTCTGGGCCACACCCCCGCCTTCACTCTTTTGCATTTGACTTATATGAAATCATTGACCTGTTAGAAGAAATGGAAGAGGTTATCTCTTTGCGTCTTCCCATCCCTCTTCCCGACTTCACTTGCAGTAGCAGGATTGTTCTGACAGTCTGAATGCCCAGGTGAGACGGCATTCATATGTAATCTGGGTAAATGACTGGCAAAGAGGCAGGGAGGGGAGATCTAAGGATGGCTCTCCTGGAGCCCTTCCTCAACTGCTCACTGCACCTCCTCTCCCTTGGCCCTGGAACACCAGACCCAACCTTCGTCCTGGGCCTCACCTTGGCATAGTAGACATGATTGGAGCAACGATATTGAGTAAACTGGCAGAAGGATTCAAACCAGGAGGCATAGGGGAGGTCGGAGCAGACAGCACCTGAGAAAGGGCAGGGGTGGAGAAGGTGAACGCACAACCGGGAACTCCCTCGCAGAGGGGCAGTGGGCTCCTTGGGTCTGGAGAGTGGAGAGTATGGGCTCAGGAAAGGTGCCAGCCATACCCCTCCTCTGTCTCAAGTGAGCACAGGGCTGCCCCACTAGGCGGGCCCTCACCGTCGGGCCCTCACCGTCGGGCACCAAGCCGTGGTTTTCATATTGGTCCAGCTGGACCAGGGTGGGGTTCCGGCAGCCGTGGGTGGCACGGAGACGGCAGGTTGTCTCTGCCTTCCAGGTTGGGGTCAGCAGTGCGAAGAAGCGTTCATATTCGGTGGGAGAGAGAGGGCTGCCTGGAGTGGAGGCCGAAATTGAATCCTGGGCTGGGGCAGGTGCCAGAGGCAGGAGCAGCACTGCGAGGCGGGGAACAGAGGGACGCATGGACCGAACTCCAAATCCCGCTCCGGGCCCAGGACAGACCCAGACTGGCAAGGGGTCCCCGTATAAATTAGGAACTGGGGGGTGTCTGGCCAATGTTGATTAGGGTGAGGGGACTCCAGGGGCAAAGGCAAAGGTCTGAC